CCGGGCTGGCGGCTGTTCTAATTACTTCTTTTTTTTTTTTTTTTCCCTTTTAATAAAGAAAAATCCACCTCCAAGAATGAAAGCAAATCTCAAGACCTTCATCTTCGTCATGGGGCGGAATGCTGGTTTTCAAAGGGCAGAAGCAGGGCACCCACGTCGCAAGCGTGACAGCAAAGAAGCCCCTTCTGCGCATTTCAGTTTTTAAAAGAAGAATAAAACTTCTCATGTATTCCTGGACTGCACACACACACGAGCTCTGTTAGATGTCACTAATACAAGCAATGCAAGAGCATAAAGAGGGTCAACTGGAGGATCAGCTCCTTACCGTGGTTTAAGAATGAAAGGGACAAACGCTATTCTCATCATAAATATTTTCTTTCTGGTTCTGTACTGCAAAAGGAAAGGCACTCAATGCTGTGCTTCAAAATCACATTGCAACCCCAATCTGATTGTTCGTGTTGGTTTTAATATAACCACAACCTAATTGCATATACAGCATTGTAAATCAAATCCCCAGTATCACCGGAGCTACCCTGATGGGAGATCAGCATTAGATACAGTATTTCCTCCCTGCCAGTAACAGGTTTTGAATGGAAAGCCTGGAATGTAAAAAAAGAAATAATGCTAAAAATCCAATCACTCTGACATCCTGTGAGCTAATAAGAGCACGTGAATGCAACAAGCTTAGTACTTCACAGTAATTAATTTGACAGCAAAGAGCTAACAAGAAAACAACAGGCAGAGCAGTGATGACTGGTTCATAGAGGTCACTGTCAAACAAGAAATAGGTGCAAACACAGTCCCTCGCCCTTTGAAAACGACTATTTCATTGCCCCAGTGAGAATAAAATGCCAAAGAGAGACAATATTGTGTCTTTGGTGCTGATAACAAATCTGGAAAGGTTTTTCTAGTAGTAAAACAAGGCAGAGGTTTTCTTTTTTACATATAGTGATTTTTACTCATTCATGTTACTCAGTGAAGTGGCATGGTTTGGCTTTTTTTTTTCCTCTCTCGCTAGGTTAGCCAAAGCCATTTTGCATATTCAAATATTGGGAAGACTTATCTTCTCTGGCAATTACTAACAAACTAATACACTAATAACCTGTATTGTTATTTAAAGTGTGTCCAATAACATTCTGGAGGCAGCTCTCACACAATGGACTTTCTCTGCCTTCCTCCTAGAGAAGAACTTAATCAAACCTTAGATGCTTTCGGGCAGAGGAGCCTACAGGGAGAGCAAACAGGGTTAACGGAAAGAAATGTGCCATTTGATTCCTAATCTTGCTCAGGCAGCATGGCCTATTGATTGAGCCATAAAGCTCTGTTAATTTTAAGATCTCCTCAGCTTTCAGTTCTTTCCCTTGGGCTTAAACTTGTTGCTTACACACAGTGGCTGAACTATCAGGGAAAGGGTAGCTTCACACTCCCCCCCGCGCCGCTCTCCTCCCCTCCTCCCCTCTATTCTATTTGTTCTGAGCTCATCTGCGTGAGGATGCATTTTCACACACACCTTCTCAAACCGGCTGCTATTCATCTGATTCAGGGTCATGCTTTTCCATACATTAAATGCAGGGGAAAACTGGGAAGGAAGTGGCTGGGATTTGTGCTTGATGGGCAAGCACACGGTTAGCCAGGGAGCCCCGCTGTGAGAGGGTACAGTATTGGAGGGTATTTTCTGTAGAAACATCAAGTCTCATGACTGGAATCTGGTGCTTATTAAAGCTGCTAGTATAATGAAATCAGGATAAACTGAAATCCTCAGCTAGTGTAAATCGGCATGTTTGCGAGGCATCGAACGGCTACAACTCTTCCTTTATAACCTAGATATTTGCTTATGCACATTTATCTCAGGGGGCAGCAGATGCAGAAGCCAGGCTTTTGGGGAGACTGGTCAGTACAGCTCTGCATCTTCCTGAGCCGCTGGGAAGCTCTAGAAACTGCGCAGACAGCGATGGCACACAGCAGCTGCCTTACTGCTCCGTGTTTCCATGATGCCCTCAGTGGCACTGTGACAATTTACGCTAGCAAAGGATCTAGCCCCTCACATATTGCCAAGGCACCTTTTATGCTCTTAAACCATTAATAATATCTATTAGGTAATCTTACTAATCCCTTTGAGGAAGGATTTTCTTTACTGTACTGATGGCTGAACTGAATAAAGCTTCATACATAAGAGGCCCGGTTTGCACTAGAAATGCTTCTCCTTTGATAACCAGCAAATACAAGTTTTACTAGCACAAGCATTTTTTTCTGCAAGCATTACCCAAATAAAATAGGCTATACTGGCAAAAGCACTTTTTTTTTTGCTCATATAGCTACATCTATACGGGGGATTTTTGCACGTAGTGAAACGCAATCTGTTTTAAATGGCACTTCAGAAGAGCATTGTTATCCCACAGAAGTTTCAAGGGTAGACCTTGAAGTATATACTTCTGCTTAGTATCTGAAAGAGCTTTTTACAAGGTGGCCATGGTTGTCTTGCTGGAAATACATAGAAACTGAGACGCACGATTACAAGGGCAGGCTGGGAGCGCTGCACTCTATCTGGAATTCATATTCGTGCCATTCTTTTGCCTCAGATTAAATTATGTATCCGTAATCAGACTGATTTCACACAAATACTTTTTAAACAACTGCAACAAAATCAGAGGATGTTTCATAAGCACCGTAAATCTGTAGAAGGGAAAGTCCTATTGAAAATCAAGTAGGTAAATGCTGTTCTGGACAACCTGGACATTTTCTGAACTGGCAAAGGTAGATCTAACTCATGAAAAAAAGCTACTAAAAGGTTGATTTGGTTTCTTTGCTCCTGCCCATGTTCCTTTAACTGAAAACTGTTAACAGAGATTTACTCTCTCTAAAGAAAGGGTCCTACTCTGAACACCACTTGGAAAAAGGGGGTACAGCAGGCAGAAACAAAGGACCTGACCAAACTGGGAACTCCTCATCTAAAGCAGGTACAACAGGAATCTGGAAGATGAGTCACAGAGAAATAAAATAGAGCCCTCAACAGGTTTTAAAGAACACCTACTGAATGCCAGTTCCTCGCACAAGTGTCAGGGAGGATGGGGACATGGGGGAAGCAGCAGTACAGGGTTGCAGAGATATGCTCACAGCCTCAGCCTCCCATTCCCACTGCACTTGATTTAACACGACTCCCGCTCCCTCCACCTCAGCTACCTGGTGGTGCCTTATGGGCAACATGTTGGCCGATCGGTCCTCTTCAATGACCCCTTTGTGCTCCAGGAGGGAAGGCTTGCATCCAAGCTCCCAGGTTCGCTGTGGGGAACGACACGCCGGCGTATCTTGTGTGCCACCGTGAAGCGTCGCAGGCAGGTACCTCGCCTTGGCCAGGTCTCCGCACAAAGCAGCGTGCCCTTTGGCAAAGGGACTGAGTTCAGAGATCTGCTTCAATTTCCAAAGTAAAGGGACCAAACACCATCAGGTGGATACCCCGTGTGATATTCAAAAGCTGTCCGCTGCTTGGTGACAGCCCAGAAGTGCTCTTGTTTTCCTCGCACAGTCTGTCCTCTGCAGTCCAAAGCTGTAGCCTTATAACCAGGCAGTGACTTCCTCTGAAGTTGCCTGTATTGACCTAAATAGGTTGGGGCGGGTGAGGACACACAGACAACATGAAAAAAGCTGTGCTGGTTGCCCAACAAAGAAGTGTCTGCTTTGTGGTGAGCACTTTTAACATATTGTTAAAGAACGTGATTTTCATGTTTGTTTAAGTTCACACCAAAAGCCTTGCAAAGTAGCAAAGTGAGTAAAAATAAAATCTGCATTTAAGTGGTAAACAAAATAGTTAAATCATGACTTCTCATAATTTGAATGCTACTTACTGGGGCAACACATTTAGAAGTCGACTGGTGCATTTCTTTTATGCCTCCAGCTGTGATTGATACATCTAATAGATCGGGAAAATGAACAGTAGGATGGAACAATGTTAAAATCAGCTCTCCTGAGAAAATCAGTGATTATTAGGGGGCAGTGACAAAACGGAGAGGTTTCCCTCCAATTTTGAATGGAGCTTAGAAGCAAAATATTGCTGGTACCTTTGCAATGCCATGGGAGAAATGGGATAGAGAAGCTCGAGTCATCTCATGATGGACAATCAGTGGCATTTGCCAAGTACCTGAACATAAGCTACCTCCTCTTTTCTACAAGCAAGCAGCACAATGTAGAGGAAGTGTCTACAGTGGGACAGGCTGCAGCAGAAGACCTGTGCTTAGGCCTGAATGTCTTCTTCTCTACCCCATTTTCACTAGCTGTAAGTTGAGGATGGCGGCATTCAACCCTCTGTAAGTGGCTTTGAAATCAAGCGGAGAAAAGCAGCATACAGGAATTCATCCTTTTCATAGAGCTTGACACTCACAGCATGGCCTTGGTGCTGTACGTCAAAAATCATTTTCCGTCTTTCCATAGTTAACTGTCCAGTTTTGTTTCCGTGAGTCTTTTGTTATATCAAACCAAAGCTGTTGTGCAGTTTAACTGTTCGCACAAGAACATTTGAGTGCGTTTTTAAAGATGGCGGTGATATGGTTGACTGATTCACTCACTGCTAGGGCCAGAAGCAAGGGGCTCCTGTAACACCACCAAAGTCCCCCAGCTCAAGCAAGGAGGATCTGCCACAGATAGCGGACCTCTATGGATTTATCCCGGCTGAGAGCTGATCCATGTGATTTACAGTCATTTGCCCAGTGCTATTTAGCCACTGTGGGCCTCTAGCAAGCGTGTTCAGGCTGTCTCACCATCCATATTCGCTACATTGGCACTAGCTACAAGCAAGGTTCTCTGCTACCACACGTCACTGATATGCCAGTATTACTAGATTACGTGAAAGGGTTATTAACAAAATTTTCTGAATCACCTTCTGCTCTGCTCAGTATTTATCATTTGTACGTCAGCACTGCCTGTCCCCTTACGAGGGAATGGTTTGAATATGCAGTGGGACTAAAACAAAACAGATTGCAAACTCTATACGACTTGGGTGCTTTGTCTTCCAAAACACCTGAAAAAGCACATACACTGTGACAGTGCAGGCTGTCCCCTTGACTGAGATGTTGACTGAGATATCCCCTCAAAGGGGTTTTAAGACTGGAGCATTTTTCATTCCCCAGGTTACAAGCAGGTCTTCTTGTTCTGTTATTTCCCTGCCATGATCTCCTCAGAAGTGGGGCAGCTTATTAGCGAAGAATAACCCTAAAACTCCTCCACAGCTCTTTGCCATTTCTGAGTAATAGTCTCGCCCCCCGACCTTTATTGCTGTGGTTTAGATCCTTACCGAGAGCATTATTAAGAATAAATCATAGTATGTGGAAATAATATGTGAAATACACTGGTACTATTGTACAAGGATAAGAAAACAAACAGCAAGAACAGGAGCACATGGATCATATTAGTAGGCATTGGGTCTACCAAACCTACACAGGTACTGAAGTGTTAGGAGGGTGCAGAGCTACAACAGGAAAGCGCGTTGTTCTAGCTTTTTTACTTAAAAGATGAGAGAGAGGGCCTAGGGGAGGGGAACTCATGAAAAAGAAAAGGATGAAACTTTTTTTTTTTTTTTTGGCTACTCCAGATGGGGTTTTCCTCTGTTTAAATGCTGAAGGACAGAAAGATTTTAAATTAAAATCTTAATAAATATAGCCCTGAGGCTAGTAACATTATTACATCCAAGATGATTACAGCAACCAAGCCACAAAAGAAATATATATATATATATTTATTTGAAGCATAATAAGGCTCAGTATTTAGTTAGAAGAAGGCTAGGCAGCTAACTGACTTCCAAGGTGGTGAATTTTCCATTCCCCTCTGCCGAAAAGATAAACCAACATGGCACATAGTTTGCAGGTCTTGGTTTCATTTCTGCACAAGATAAAATTATTACTGCTTAAGCTTTATATATATATATATATAAAAAAAAAAAAGTTACAATTGCTCAGATCATGTGCATGAGGGTTGGCAGGAAAGAACCTTAAGTTTGCAATGTGCAATAGGAGATGTGGATGATTAGTGAGCTTCATTGAGAAAGAGCAACCTAGGTCCCACAGCTTGCTTGAGCGAGGCATGTTCTCCTCGAGACATTTGCCTTTTTCAGTTGATCCTACTCTCAAGACAAGGTGCTGCACTTTACTTGTTTGTGAAGAGTTTGGGTTTTTTAAATTATGGGAATATTTTAATAAAGGATACAGGGAAAATACAGGGATACAAAGAAAAGGATACAAGCTGATAAAGATGATTAAATCATAGAGCGACTGCGGAGTGGGTCATGAAGTGTTATAATCCCCAACTCCCCTCTGCTTTCTGCCTCAATGTGTTAATGCATCACACTTTAGTACAGTGACACTTTCAGCCCTAGGTGGAAATTCACACATGATGAAGAGGTGGAGGAGGATTTCCAGATGGTCAGACCTCAGGGAGTGCGAAAAGGTGGGGGGAGGAAGGGAGAAACTGCTGAAGGGAATCGGACTTTGGTCACATCAGTAATTTCCAGCTGAAAATGGAATATTAAAAAAAAAAAAAAAAACCAAAAAACATCAGGGAGTGCGAAAAGGTGGGGGGAGGAAGGGAGAAACTGCTGAAGGGAATCGGACTTTGGTCACATCAGTAATTTCCAGCTGAAAATGGAATATTAAAAAAAAAACAAAAAACAAAAAACAACCACCAATGATCCCATACCAGAGCCAGGTGTGTTCAGGTTTGGATGTTATGCGTGATAAATCCTTACCATTGCTGGTTGTGAAAGATCCCTTGGAAATATTGGTTTATTTGTGTGCAGCAGTGAAAGGTGTGAGCTTCATTCCCTTGGCCAAATTTCAGCATGGGTACTAAAGCATCCCGACGCAGACCCAATTAGTTGTTTTATTCTCCACAGCTTGTCTTTACTAGAGGTTATTGTAAAGTGGTACTTGCTCTGAATTGCACACAAATTTTCCCTCCAGCAGAGGCTGTATTTGGCTGCTGCACATCCTTTGGGACCCTCTTCTGCAGGGCCACCTCTCCAAGAGCAGGGAAGGGCACTGAGACAGACAAAACGCAAGGCTTGCGGCCAGTTGGTCCCATCACACCCAAAAACAGGCCCCACTTTCCCTTTAGGGGAGCATAAGGCAGCAGCTGCTATCACACAGCTGGACTTCTCTAAGAAGAGCTCATTTACTGTGGCCTTTTGAGGGGAATGGGAAGGTAGTCATGGTCCAGAGTTCAAGGGGTCTGGTCCTTCAGGGTGAGAGGTTCTGTGTCTGTATAAAGAATTAGCAATAGATGGTATTTTGTACAGCCACAGCTCTTTCCAGATGTCAGGGTTAATGGAAATTTAAGAGACTAAATTATCTAAGCATCAGAGAACCCTTATAGTGGTGGTGGTGGGAAGATAGTCTCCTTATCATGGCACAAACAGCAAGCATTAGGTACAACGGTTCACACTGCAATGATGCTCTTGCTTCATTTTCTTAGGTGTCGCTTGGGTCAGAGCATTTCCCCTACCACAAAATGGACACTAGAGATGCCAATGGTGGGCAGTCACAATGGAAAGGAATACTTTGTTTAACATCACCAGTAAGATTGCATTCTATTTACCCGTACTTCCTGGATGGCAACAAAGTAAATTGACCACAGCATGATGAACTACTTTTGGACAAATCTCATAAGAAATGAGTTTCCGCTTTGGGGAAATGTTTGTTGTATGTCCGCTCCCTCTCACTCCCAGCGCAAACCATGTTGTGCACGCAGGTCAAGAAAAAAGCTCAAGGAGACAGAAGACACAGCTTTGCCTTATTCAACTTCTGCTATTGCAACTTCAAATCTGTGATTTTAACCGACACTGAAATTCCTGCTCCCATTAATTGACTTTATATGTTAAAATCACTTATGTCATAGCAAAATGTGAAGAAACCTCGGGCATAGGATAGGATAGTGACTCCCACGATGATCTGTTCAAGATGCCCAGGTGCCTGTCATTGGCTTTAGTGGCAAGCCAATAGCCTCTGAGCCTTGTAAAGCCTGCAGCATCCATCTCAGACTTGTGTCTTACAATGACTGGATGAACATCTCTGACTTTCTTCCCTAAAGACTCAGTGCAGCAGGTGTTTTCAGTCTGCCCACCTTCCAGATTAGGTGTCCAAAAATGCAGCAATAAATATATTTTTTTTCTTCCTTTTTTCTAAAAGAGCTCAAGGTGGGTGGAGGGGATGGGCGTAGGCTATTTTTATTCGTACCTTAATTTAGTCAGTAGTCCAATGGTTCATGAAAGAAGAGCTGGGCTCAGTCCCCTTCCCTGCCTGACAACACTCCCAGGGAGCATGAGAGGCAGGTCAGGTCTCCTCAGAAGGAGCAGGCTATGGGGTGATGCTGGGACAGGAGCACTCTTCAAGCCTCCAGTTGAGTTGGTGCATGACCTAAGGGAACACGATCCCATATAGCTCTCTAGGTAGACAGTTCAAAGAGGCACAAGGCCAGGCCTCCCTTCTTCCCACCCTGCTAGCCAAAACATCTGGAACTACCCAATCCACAAGAGGCTACCTTTAAGAGGACATAGGCAGTCCCCTCCCTGGCACAGAGCATACCCTGGGAAGTGCACTCTGCTGGGAGGGGAGACATACACACTCCCTGCGGCAGAAGGGAATTGAGCCATGTGAAATTCCCCGTGTTCAGCACTAGCCTTTTGAGCGCTACGCGTAGTGTATACAAAACATCGCCGCGCTGCCAACCACCCTGCCTTGCCCTTGCAAGAACGGACCCACGCTCCATTCCTGGAAGGAAGCCAAGAGAGCCTAAATTGTGAAGCCCAAGGGATCCTCAGCCCCCAGGCAAGGTAGATTTAAGAAGCTGTGCTCCTCATCGCTTGCTCAGGCAGCAAAGCAGCCTCCTGGGTTCGGTGGCTGCCATTTTGAGGTGGTGCGTGGTGCAGGAAGCTTCGCTAAGAAAGGCAAAGATCTGCAGGTTGTGGTGGCTGCCAAGAATGGGCATTGCAACACTCCACAGTGATGCCCAAGACCTTCTGTAAGTCTGCTTCCCCCAAACCAAAGTGTTGCTGCTGTTGCCATGCTAGCAGTCCACAAAGCAAGAGCAGATGGAGTTCCCCCAGAGTTCAAATCACTGCATGATAAACCCTGTACAGATCCAGGTCTGCCCAAAGAGTGGGCAAAACAGGAGAGCAGAGAGATCACCAGTTAAAGTTGCCAAGTGACTCTTCCCCCTCTCTAAGTGACAAGGCACAAACAAACTTGCAGGATTGAGCCTGTAGCAAAATTGGTCCTGCTGTAACTTTTCTTCTGTCTAGGTAACAGGGCTGAATTTGTTTAACAGTAGCTGTTAAAGAACAACAGAAGAACACAGGTGTAAGGGTGGATTTAGACAAGGCAAACACTTAACTGTATGTATTAAGACTTGAAAGTAAACAAGTGATTGATAGCAGTCAATGGAGACTGTTCTTACAGCAGAAGTGGAAAAGCTAAATGAATAGAAAAGTAAATAGAAGCAGAGTATTTGCCCACAACAGGACTGCAGCTGTGAACTATTACAGGCATGCAACAAGGAAGGAGTAAACAGGTCCCCATTCCCATGGCTGGGGTGTTTTGTTATTTAGCAGAGTCCACCCAGTGCATAGCAGAGAAGACTTCATCTTCTCACTACGGACTTCCAAGCTTTAGAGGTTATACTCTGGTTTTCGGCTTCTGACACAAAAATACACGCCTAGCACCTTTAACTAGGAAGCCAAAATTCACAACCTTGCTAAGATACCTTTCCTACCCTCACCC